ATGAGCTGATGATCAAGAACTTATGAGGAACTTGGCATCATTAGCAGTCGCCCCTACATTACCTTCTCTTCTCTTCTCTGTTATGATGCCTTGATGCTCCAAGTTCTTGATCAAATGATGATTGACATGTTTCTGAGGCCTCTACTACAGCTACTACTCGTTTTTTGATATATTGTTGTTTTATAGGACTACTTTGGTTTATAGCCCTTTTTATTTCTTATACCTTCTCGCGTACCTAAAGCACACTTTCTTGCATCTATTAGAACAAAGCGCGAAATAATATCGCGGACACCAGACAGTGTAGCCCGATGCCCCGAGCATGATGAGCAGCCAACCTATGAGGAGCAAGCACTAGAGGACCAGCTTACTTAGGAGCAGTTTGATAACGAGTTAGAAAAGGATCTAGAAGTGATGCTTACTTAGGAGCAGTGTGACGAGGAGGAAGGGGGAGCAGAAGGAAGAGCAGGAGAGGCTGCTGAAGGCGAAGAAGAAGAGGATGATGATGATGATGACTCAGAAGAGGGATATGTAAGTCCTGAGGATCCTTTCCCACATGAAGCCAGAAGAAGGACAACGGAGGAAGATTTGGACAAGGATTTTGACCCGAACGAGGAGGTAAGGAAAAAGCCTTAGCTTGTAAATTTTGCTAAAGCTCTGGCTGTGTTACCTCTGCTAACACTTTGACCTATCATATATACAGGTCCCTCCTGAAACTCGGAAAAGACGACGTCGACGTCCGTGACATCTCGCTGGACAAGACAGAGTAGAGGAAAGGAGAGCAGAGCCAACAGCCACAGAGACGGACATTGAGGCCTCTGCTCCACAACCTCAAGACACAATCATGACTACCAAGCCTAAGAGGAAATGAGGGGATAGAAAAGCAAATCAATATCCAAATAAGGCATGCTATGTGATAACGGAGGTCAGGCCAGCAGGGAAGATCCTTGAGCCGAAGGAATTAAGAGGATGATTTTGTAATGCAATCGGGGCCCTAGTAAGAGATAAATTGAACCCAGCAATCCCTAACTGGAAAGAGGTACCAGAGAACAAAAAGGATGAACTATGGGATAGGCAGCTGAAGCTCAATTTTATATTTTCGGAGGGTAAGCATGAACTGGTAAAAAAATGCTTTCAGGATGATGGAAGAGTCATTCCGACGTTGGAGGTTGGAGCTCAACAAGAAGTATAACGAAAAGGGGTTAACTCCCGTCAATGAGTTTGGCAACATAACTCCTAGTCAATGGGAGGAGCTCGTGGCTCAGAAGACTTCACCGGAGGCATTGGAGCTCAGTGCCCGTAACACCGAGTTGGTGAAGAGGAACAAACAGCACCATCATCTAGGCCCCGGTGGCTACTATGCCAAGGAAGAGCAGTTTAGTAAGATGGACGAAGAGGCCGCAGCTGCTGGGAATATCGATGTGACGAATTTGAAGGTACGCTCAAGGAATTGGATATATGCGAGGAGTACAGAATCATCCAGCGGTAATCTTAAGTTTGATAAGCCGGAGACCCAAGAGGCAGTATCAAAGATACTAAAATATGCTTAAGACAAGGAGAAGGGCTCATTCAATCCTTCTAGAGAGGGACGAGCTTAGCCTTAGCTTGGGAAACAAGGAGCACATAGGCCGCACCAGGGGGCTAGGGAAAAGGACGACCTGGAAGCAAGGATTTGAAGATGACAGGCACATGTACAAGAAACATAGCAGAGACCGGGAGACTAATCTTGAGCTCCAAGTGAAGGCTCTAGTTGCGAAGGCGCTGGAGGAGCAAGGACTGTCTATGGAGCCATGGATATTAATGATGCCGCCAGGAGAACTAGCATTAGTTAGCAGCCCTCCGAAAGTTCCTAGCAGCCAAGGTTCCACTACAGCCACAACCCCCGTCGATCGCATATGGGAACCAACTAGTTGCACCTTGGTGTTTCTCAGCGGCCGACAGAACATTGTAATGGAGGTGGCAACGGGTGTGGCACATCCTCCCGGTGGCTTACACCACAATAATAAGATACCGCCGGACTACACTAGGGTCGAGGTGCATACCGTAAAGCCCGAGTTCATGCAGTGGAGGATAGACTACGCAACTCCCGAGAGGCTAGTGTTACTCGGAGACGTTATGTGGTAGTTCATCCTCTGGCACAAATGGGACATTATATTGACTGCTTCTTCACCGCATCCCCCTCTCCCAAATTTGGAGCGAGTTGTTGAGGTCAGGGAGATATTTTCACCGTCTCGTGACCACCACATTCCTGAGATGCCACATTCTTCCCTACCTCCTAGCGAGCATGTGCCTGATAAGCCACAACCTTCTCTAGCTCGTACCGTGCAAGTGCATGATGAGATGCCACAGTCTTCTCGACAAGCACAGTCGATACATGAACAGCGAGTGCCTCCTGAAGAAGGTGATGCACAAGAAGATGAGGACATGCCTGAATGGGAACTTCGAAAGAAGCATCCAATCACCATAAGACCAGTTTATGTTTCGATGAAAGACGTCTCGTCGGTGCACAAGTGGTATTCCCATGACCAGTTCAAGCCTGAGAACCAAGTTAAAAAAAGTCACATCACGGAGTTCTGAGGAGGCCGTCACTAGCAAACTCCACCAAACAGCAAAGCAGTATCCAAATGTTGATGCCATCAAATGGTCAAAGGATTGCCCGAAAACATATAAAAGAGGCAAGCCCTTCCTACCAAACCGGGACATCCAGCCCCTATCACTTGGAATGAGAAGGTTCCATGATTGGTACTTGTGTGTTCTCCCAATGAGCATAGACCTCGTACAAGCATGCTTCCCCACCGGCACATTTAGAAGTCCAGCCGAGAAAATTGTCTTTGACTTCAATGACATGCAGACATGCTTTCACCTCGGAGCAATAGAGACGAATCTAATTCGTACGTGGTACCTATAAGTCCTTGTCCTCCCGATATGATATGAATGTAATCTTTGAATTCTGTTATAACTAACCCACGCCGTGATTTATAGACTGCAAGTACACATTGTCAAACAAATACCAAGTGTGAAAGCCGGGTATATAGACCCTCAAGCTATAAAACAAACAAATTTTAATTACCCTAAACAGTGGAAACTGAATGCCAAAGAACTAGCTGCTGGAAAGACCCTTCAGGAGAAAGAGCACATCCATACGACGAAACTAAGAGAAGAGTCCCTTAAGGTTGCGGCATATATTGCCCTGGCTTTTAAAAATCTCCAACAGCACTCTACTATATAGCTACCACACAACTTCGAGTAAGTTCAACTCTATACCTAAAGCTTTGTTCAATATATTTTATTCGATACAAAAGAGCTTATCTAGTTCTATGATTAAATCCATGCAGCAACCACTGGATTTGTATAGGCGTTGATGTCGGGAGGAGCATGGCGTGGCTCTTTGATTCAATAGATAGGGACCCGGTGACATACAAAGACTTCATATCGATTCTCAAGACGTATACATATCGACAATCCTCATTAACTTATATGTTTGTATACATACTTGTAACGTTCACTTTTAGATACTAACAAGTTGTATTTGCTAAAATAATTTGAACAGGGCATTTAGGTTCTATGTCACTAAACATCACGGAAGGCATGATCCAGTAAGGAAGAAAAAGCTAGCTATAAAAATACTATGTGCGGTAAGTGTAACTTACTTCTTCAGTACTTCATTACATGGCTGTCAAAAGCATTACTTAATATTTTCATATGCAAAACACACAGTGCCCCAAGCAGAAGTCTGGGAGTGTACATTGTGGATAATATGTATGTTCTATGATAAGTAACACCGGTGCCTACAGGTGACACCCCTTAAGGGTAAGTTTAAACCTTTTCACCCGTAGTATAAAAACTTCGCACATGGTATGAAATACTAAACCGAAACTTGTTCTCTTGTAGTGGAAAGAAGATAAAGAAATAAAAAGAGACCCATACAAGGATGACCAACTCTTAGAGCTCGTCAGCGACCTTTGCAACTTCATATTGGACCAGATTATACACGTCAAAGGCACCTACCATGACCGAGAGTCTGACTTAGGTAGAAATCCTCAATACCAATACCTTCGTGAGACTGAAAGGCTAGCTCTAGGACGTTGATAACAATGTGTATGGAATTTGACATTAATTTTACCTTGTAAATTATGTCTATTTAATGATGGATTGTATATATTCTTGTGAATTGAACTTGTAATTATAGTTTATATAATATTTTTGTGCTTATAGTTTATATAATACTCTTGAGCGAACGCGGTTCGAAACGTTGGTTGCGGGGAGTTCGGCGAGATTATCTCGCTTTCCTCGCTCACGTTGGTCACGGGGCAATGAATGGTGCAGACAACAAAGATACGACATCCTTGCCTTGCGCTTTAGTGCCTAATGAAATCTTTAACCTTTACCTTTACAAAAAAAAAAACCCTGCAGTGACTAGAGCTAGCTGCAAGCAAAGAACAATTCTGAGGACCACAGACAGACAAAGAAAACACACTGCTAGTAGTACTACTGGACTCACATGCACATACATTTGCCAAACACCAAAGTTTATCTCTGTGGCACCGCCTGCTTATTTGTTTCGATCTAACTTGTAGCTGCATACATTTTCTCTGAGACATCTCCCTGTCTCCTCTTCATTGGTGGGTGGATTTGTTTATTCAGCTTCTCTCGCATCCTGCTTGTGCCAATTGAACTGAACAGAGGTATGCAAATAAATGCTGTGCAGATATAAGTTTTCAATGTATATATATATGTAGCTTGCATTCACAAAAGTTCTATATAATTCATGCAACTCTGGATAGTATATATTAATCACTCCTTGCTGCATGGTTGTGTTGATCAGAGAAGCCGAGAGACCAACCAAATGGGTTAGATCCGCAGTAGAAACGGATCCTGTTCCACTCGAAATGGATATATCATAATCATTTATGATCTGAAGATCTAGTACATGCACCGTAGAGACTGCTCCAGAGTCAACATAATAACCTGACGGCCCGGTTAATAATCCAGTACAGTCCATCATGCGTTCTGAGGTAAACCTGCTAGCATTAACAATGAAGTTCTTTTAAGTTCTTGCTAATAATTAATCCAATGCAGTCAATCAAGCATACTGAAGATAATAAACGCATTGCTTGCAGGTTATCACGGCGTGCACCATCGATAGTGCTGTGGAACGAATCCTGGAAGAACTGAAGGACATTGGTGGTACCAGCAGCGGCAGGCGGCACAATGTCATCTACTTCGACGGTTGGGATGGGCTGGGGGCATCCGCCGTCCTCCGAGAAGTGGGCCGCCGTCTTGCTCCAGCAGCTTCAGAAGAGAAGAAACCAGCACTGGGCAGCGGTCTCGAGTTCTCGCTAATCATCAACCTCGACTGCTCCAAGTGGGAGAGCAGGAGAGCGTTGCAGAGGTCTCTCGCGCAGAAGCTACAGCTTCCTCCTCCAGTGATGAACATGTTCGATGCACAAAATGAGGAGGATGATTACAATGGTGTGGACAAGGGCTCCCGCGCTGAGATACCGCAGGTCGCTGATGCAATATATCGACACATACAGAAGCATCTGAGCAGCAGGTTCTTGGTGATCTTCAACAACGGGAGTTGCAACGAAATCGACCTTGAAAGCTTCGGCTTCCCTCTGTCAGGATACTCAAGGAACAAAGCGCTGTGGTCATTCCAAGGAGGGTTCCGGCTCTACCCTAGGACGGCTGTCAATAATGCCCTGGAGAGCATGAAGATGACAGATGTTTTTCTCTCAGCAGCCTCTGATCCTGACCCTGCAGTTAGTGGCTTTAACTTGTCCAGCATTTTGCACCATGAGGCTGCAGAAATTGCACGCAAGATCAATATTGGCGGCATCAACTGGCCTGCAGCAGCAACCGATTGCTTCTTGTACATGGTGAAGCTTTGCCGCATGGGCAGTCACTTGATGGACTATGATTTGGCTACCCATAGCTGCAACTATTGGAAATGCGATGACGTCATACAGCTACAACATGGCACTGATGATGATGATGATGGTAGAGTGTGGCTATCCTATGATGCTCTGCAGCATGAGATGATACTAGATGTGGACTACTACCAAAGCCCATCTTTGCCATCACCAGTAAGCCGCTTGCCAGAGCAGATATCATACTGGACTTCACCGACCTGTGGGTTCATGCTGATTCCGGATCAGAATGGCCGTATTCCTAAAGGCATGTTCCAACAATATGACACACTTCGTGTGCTCAAGCTATCAGCCTGCATGTTTAGCTGCACATCTCCTCCGTTCCTCTGCTGCCACAGCCTCAGATTTCTCTGGCTTGACCACTGCCGAGAAGAAAGCAGCAGCACAGATGGAGATGGAGTAGCAGGGAATGAGGACATCCCTCGGTGCTTCCAAGGGCTGTGGGTGCTGGACGTGCGCTACTCAAGCTCAAAGTTGTTGTCCAGCAGGATGATGGATTTCATGGCTCAACTCAGGGAGCTACATGTGATGGGACAACAGTTTGACATGGGCGTGTTGAAGGGGCGGCTGCAAAACATTCGAAAGCTCCGAGTAACAAAGTCTCATGCCACAGCTAGCTACTACACAGATGGGAGGCTTGTTCTCGGGGAAGGATAAGATGGAGCTTCTTGACTTCTCAGCAAATAGTGGTCACATGACGAGCTTCCCCTGCGGTAAGCAGCTGCAACAGCCTTGAGACCGTTATCATTAACGGGTCTACATCTTTAAAAGAGGTATCCCTGAAAGGGTGTGCCACACTGAAGAATCTACTCTTGAGTGGGTTGTTCCAGCAGCTCTACAGCCTAGACATCACTGGCACTGCAGTGAAAACACTGGATCTAAGTGCAGTGGAGGCCCCAATGCTCGATCAGCTCTTCCTACTTGGTTGTGGGAAGCTTTATGCAATCCTATGGCCACCTGAAGGCAAGAGGAAAAGATACATGGGCAAGCTACGCATGGACACCACCCAAAAGGAGGGCAGCAATACTACTGCCACTAAAACAGCAGCTATGAGCGGAGGTGGATCACCGGTTGAATTTGATTGGTATATTTCTGTGAGGGAAGCGAGGATCCTTGGGTCACTTGTGCCCGTCAAAGATTATTTTGGTCCCAATGATGCGCATGTGGTGATTTCAACAACCCCATCCCATACTCACCGTCTCCGTGCTGATGCCGCCGGTGGTAACAAAGGTAACAGAATGAAGGGTAAAGACCATAATTCAATATATGCAGATGTCGCCACCACCCTTAAGGAGGACACCATCATGGATTTACAGGCCGATGGAGGAGATTGTGAAGCTTGGGCGACCATGTGTGCATGTCCTCCTCCCCAATCCGAACCCATACTGCACCATCCATTCAAACCAAAGCTACATCCCAGGACTGCTATATGCGCATAGAAGACAAGATGATGAGAACCGCACTACAAGCTGGAAACCATATTACTGTACCAGGATTTATATGTGATGCTGCTAAGATCCTGCATGTGCAGCATAGCTTGTCCATCACCAGTATCTTTGCAGCTCCGTTAGGATCAAGTTGGAATAAACTGGAGTGGTGTCGAGTCGAGCGGTGCCCCGAGTTGGAGTGTGTCTTTAGTCCTCAAGTAGGTGCAGTACCAGATGGAAGTAGCAGTCACATGGACATATTCAAGAAGCTCAAGATAATCTGGGCGTCACATCTCCGCAACACACGCTGTGTCCTGGAGCGTCCTAGCTTAGAAGGACCCAGGTATAGAGCATTTGCAGACCTGACATTATTGCACCTTTACCGCTGCCCCAGGCTGCTATATGCTGTACCCTTGCAACTCGAAACGATGTCCTTGGAAAATTTGGAGACCCTCGAGATCATGTGGTGTGGCGATCTCAGTGTGGTCTTTCACTTGTTTGAGGAAACCAGCGACCGTGGGATGTACCAATGTAGCTGGAATTTTCCCAACCTGAAGGTCATTCACCTGCATGAGCTTCCAAGGCTGCGGGGCATCTTCAATGTCCCCTGGTATGGCGTGAATGCCCCAAAGTTTGAGACTGTCAGGATCAGGGGCTGCTGGAGCCTCTGGACGTTACCACCTTTCTGTAGGATGGTGAAGTGCGACTGCGAGAAGGAGTGGTGGGATAGGATGAAGGAAAGTCGTCGCAAGGTGCTGACGCACTACCACAAGCCGACCCACTCACGGTATTACAAGAAGACCATGCTGAGGGGATCCCTCCTCAGGTAAATATAGCCCTTCTCGGCTAGCCCACTACCTTTATATATGTATAAATCGGTGTTGGAATCAGTTGTCGGTTATTAGTACAGACATTCCTCGTTCTGGTCCATTCCTTCACTTTGACTTCCCTGTTCCTTCCTATATGCGTGATGTTTACATACACAAGGAGCAGTGGCGCACACACATTTCGTTCAGCGTTTAAATTATGTATTTCTAAACTAGTTTTGACCGAGGAACAGGAAAATTATACATAGGCTGGCTGTGTCACGCAATATATATATATATATAATTGTATATAGGCATATAGTAGTAGTGGTACCATCATATCAGAGTTGTTCTTCCATGCACATTATATTCTGGTTGTGCTTGTTTTTCTTCAACCAATCCTCAATTCGCAAAGCTCAACAAAAATAGACGAGATAGGATCAGTCGCATGCATTTGGCTAATTCTCTTGATCTCCTCTCCTCTCGTGCAGGTAAGGCGCTCAACCCTTCCCGGACGCCCTTGGAGTTGCTGAGGCTGTCCGTCGCTTGCCTCTGGTGTCTCTGCATCTCTCCGTATCTGCCCGCTCCTTCATTCGCTTCCACTAATCCACTAGCTTGGTTTATGCATGTCTGTGTGATCTCCAGCCTCCGCATCGATTTGCACTGGTTTGGCCGTGCTTCATCCGCTAGTTGGTCTTGGTTTGCTCCGATTTGTTTGATTTGGTTTGTTTGGTCCAGCAGCGCCGATTCGTTCAGCGTATGATGTGTGAAGTTGAGAATGAGAAATAAAGAAGTGAGCTGAATTCCATTCAGCTTAGACACTCCTGCTGCAGCAGCAGCTACGGCTTGAGCTTGAGCCTGCCCGCCTTGCCTCATGCATGCTAGCTGCTGCTGTGCACCAGCCTTATCTCGTGTGCTGTGTCCTGCGTGTGATTTTTTTCAGTTGTGTGGGGTCTCATTGTGGTCATCCAGTGTGTGGATTATATTTGATCACTCTTATTGTTACTCATCTTGTATGTCTTTAAATAAATGGATGATCTGTGGTTTGTTTGTGCAACAGTCATGGGCACATATATGGGAAAGCGCCTTCCTTATTTGGCATGCATAGACACAGATGTGTGCTCACTACCAGAAATAAGTGGCATGGTGGCCTACCATTTCCCTAGCGGCACGCACTAGCCGATGGGATTGCTTTCATAACATTGAGACAAACTATATATTATACATGGGTAAAAGATATAGCACACTAAACAAGGGATTCAAATCTGACAGGCAAAAAGGAAACAGGAAAAAAAAAAGTTATTGCTTTCTTAAAAGCTGAGAGGAAACTCTTTTTAAAAAAACAGATATTTCAGTTCCAAAGTGCTGTTCTTTCAATTTTTCAGATGAGGATACCGTAACCAGCCAACAACCTTCCCAGTTCCCAACACTGAACGGTCATACAAGTATTCAACTTTGTTGTGTTGTTTTGTGTTGAACATTTCATACCAATATGGACATAGCTCTCCCCCACGCCCCCACGTTGCCCAAGCCGGGCGGCTCGACTCCTTCACCCCAGCCTCCCTGCAGCACCGATCTCGCCCTCGCCACTGCTGGAGCTGCAGGCCGGATGCCCAGCAAGCAGCAAGGAGGGCGGCAGCGGGGCCATCCCGCCCCTCTCCTTCCTCCCCCTCTCTCTTGCTTCGTGGTCGTCATCCGGCCGATATCTCGATATGCGTGGTGGATCCACACGGGGGCGGCCAGATCCACGGGATTGGCGACCGGATTTTTTTTCAGTTGTGTGGGGTCTCATTGTGGTCATCCAGTGTGTGGATTATATTTGATCACTCTTATTGTTACTCATCTTGTATGTCTTTAAATAAATAGATGATCTGTGGTTTGTTTGTGCAACAGTCATGGGCACATCTTTACATATGAATCCTGTGCCCAAAAGCTGGCCGGCCAGCGTGCCACGTTGCCTGCCGTTCCCGGCCGTTCGATCGGGCGCGCGGACGGTCCAGATCGGGCGAGCCGTGGGGTTTTTACAAAAAAAAACTCTTGAACTTTAGTCAAATCAACCCACAGTCCAGGCCTCCTCTTAGATTTTTTTTTTCAAAAAAAGGCCTCGAACTTTAGCAAAATTAGGCCTGTAGACCACGGCGACGGGCGCGACCGGGGTGCGGCGGCGTCGGCCGCCCTCCTTCTCTTACGTCTCCTCCTCCTGCACCGCTGCTCTCCCTCGCCTGCCTCTCACCTCCATCTCGCCCTCCCCTTCCTCTCTCTCTCTCTCTCTCCAGAGGCACCGCCCGCTCCGTGATCCCTCGCCGCAAGCGGCGCAGCCCCACGAGAGCAGCTGCTCGTGGAGCCGCGCTCCACCGAGGTCCCATCGAGCTCGCGCGCCGAGTCGCGCGCGCTGGGGGGGACGGCCGCGCGCATGCGCCGCCGCGCCATGGCCGCCCGCCGAGGGCCCACCGAGCTTAGGTCACTAGAGTCGCGTGTTCCCGGGTCCGGCCGCGCACGCGCCGTGGAGGCGGTCTAAACCGGTGCCGGTGGCCGAGAGCACCTCGCCCTGCCACCTCGACCTCTCGGCCGAGCTGGTCGGTGGCGCACCAGCTGACGCGGTGGCATCGGGCGGGGCCCCGGGTGAAACCGCGCGGAGCTCATCCCCTCCTCGCAAGTTCGAGAAGGTGCCGGTCCCTGCTTTGCAACCACAGGCGGCCGCCCCGCCCTCTCCTCCCAGCCACGCCGAAGAAGTCGACAGATCTCGGGAGCTGGCCGCGCACGTGCCCTGGAGCCGAGGGCCGAGCACTCGCCTGCTTGGGACACCGTAGGAGAGGAGCCGCCGAGGCTCCCGCGCCAGAGCCCCCCACACGCGCTGTGGTGGCCGGAGCCACCGTGCCCGCGCCCCTCGCCCGCTGCGAGGTGGCCGAGGCGGCCACGCCCGCGCCATGGTGGCCGAGACCGCTGCGCCATGCACTCGCGCCGGGTTGTACTCATGTGTGTCAAGGAACAGAGCGCGACGATGGGGGCTCCATTGGGCTGGCAAGCCGGTGGAGCAAGACTGCGACGAAGCCCATCTAGCAGCCGTCGACCATCAACCGCAGTTGTAAGCTCCCCCAAGGTTCGTCTTTGCCACTGCTGCTCCTTTGGTTCTACTGCTCTGGCCTATAAAATGATTGCTTGCAAGTGTTTGATAAAATGCCAACCATGACTCTGGAACCAAATTCAGTGTGATCTTGGCAATTTGAGTTCACTCACACTCGCTTTAGTGTTTAGACTAGCAGCAATATTTGTTTGCTTGCTCACTAATAATCAGTATGATTTTTTAATCCTCTTCTTTTTTTATAAACTGGTGAATTTTGGTCTGAAAACATATGAATGGACAATTGGTTTGCTTCCTTGCTCATAAGCCAATGTATTAATATCCAAAACAATTTGTTACTCCGTGGTTAATTCTCAAGTTTCCAGACATGTAGCCTTCATTTAAATGGATTGTTTCCCATTAAACTTTTTACTCTATATTTTCCCAAATCCCAGGATTGTATTATTTGAAGGATTATAATGAACAGCAGACATGTTCCGCACAGGATGCATGCACCTGCATATCAGATTTTAGGGAAAAAAAATTCCGAGAGAACTTTATGAAACGACACATTACTTACAGAGAAGATGACTTGCAACAGCAATAATCTTTGTTGAATAGCGTTGCTTCAGTGAACAGCTTGCCTTCGAGGCGTTCTTTCAGGATTATTTCTGTTATTGCCCTTATTGTCAAAATAGCTTGTACAGTTGAGTTCTTACATAGACCACACGATCTGTGGCTTTACAAGTTATGAACACAGTCATAACTGCTGGTTATACTAGCCCAATCTAGAATAGGTGCTCCAAGGAGGGCACCTATTATAAAGGAGCGAAGCGATTGCCTATTATACTAGCAATCACTGATAACCCATGGACATCACACAGATCTGAACGTAGGGGCTAGCCATTGATCGGATTCGGGCGGAGAAGCGTCACAGCTAGTTGCTGAAATTGAGCATGGGGTATTGCTTGCAGGTGGGAGCACATGGGAGGCGTCGACGGTGGCAAAAGGCACTCGTGCGACTGGAGCAATGCCTGCATGCCGTGCGCCAATGGACCAAACACAGCGGGGCCAGATGGACGTCTCACGCATGGAGGAGGCACACTGTTGTCTCTCCACCACCACTGCCGGGCCGCAGCAACATGCTGCTGGCTAGCCACATCGCATAGGGATGCACCAACAGGCCTGGGCTACAACTACAAGCAAAGCCAGTGATCAAATCAGGAGTGTAAGTACTTTCACACTTACATGAATCTAAAAAATTGAACCTTGGTGTTGGCTCGAAAGCTAGGAGATGTATCTTCCTGATTGGAATCCATGAGTATAGTTGATGTTGCTTAGCTGACAAAATGCTTCTTCCCTTAGTGTTAAAATTATCGAAGTAGGGGAAACATCTCGCAAGGTATATAAAATGATTTTACCTGATGCAACATCCATTTCAATTCATCTTTAATATTTGTGTCTCTGAAATCATTTGTAAACTAAACATGTTAACTTGCAATCTCAATTTGTCAATCTGATATTTTGGATCTTTATTCCTAAAGTTTGACTATCTACCGTGGTAGATAGTGAGTTGAATAGAGTGTGAGTAATGTTCTTAGCAATAACAGGTAAGCATTTTTTTATTTACCAATTATAAAATCTCAAGTCCAATTCCTGCAATTCATACTTGGTTTCGTACTATGGTTTGATTTGTAATGACCTTCAAAGTGGGCACTGCTGAAATATCTACATAATGTTTAATCTATTTTCAAGTTGCAGAACTCAATACCTCAATACTATAACATTGATCGTATACTGCATTCCGGCTTAGTTTAATCAAGTTTATACACCATTTACTAATTTAATACATTTGAGGGGCAAAGTATATTAAGTATTAACTGAAAGTTCTAACTGGAAATTCCAACGCTGCTGGCCAACAACTCCTTGCTTCTACTTTACTACGATCAAGTAGATTAATTAGGAGCTCAATCAAAAGATTTTGATCAATAAGGCTCCTGAACAGAATAATATTTCACTGTACAACATAATGCTTCCATCCTTCTATCAAACCTTGATATATGGAATGGCAATCACCAGTGTGTTGTACCCAGCAATCAAAACCTCGTCTCTATTCTTATTGCCGCTGACCCAATCGGAAGGGAAGGCGCGGCAAAGCCGCGCCCACGTTTCTAGTATATGGGAAAGCGCCTTCCTTATTTGGCATGCATAGATACAGATGTGTGCTCACTACCAGAAATAAGTGGCATGGTGGCCTACCATTTCCCTAGCGGCACGCACTAGCCGATGGGTTTGCTTTCATAACATTGAGATAAACTATATATTATACATGGGTAAAAGATATAGCACACTAAACAAGGGATTCAAACCTGACAGGCAAAAAGGAAACAGGAAAAAAAAGTTATTGCTTTCTTAAAAGCTGAGAGGAAACTCTTTAAAAAAAACAGATATTTCAGTTCCAAAGTGCTGTTCTTTCAATTTTTCAGATGAGGGTACTGTAACCAGCCAACAACCTTCCCAGTTTCCAACACTGAATGGTCATACAAGTATTCAACTTTGTTGTGTTGTTTTGTGTTGAACATTTCATACCAATATGGACATAGCTCTCCCCCACACCCCTGCGTTGCCCAAGCCGGGCGGCTCGACCCACTCACCCTAGCCTCCCCGCAGCACCGATCTCGCCCTTGCCACTGCCGGAGATGCAGGCCGGATGCCTAGCAAGCAGCAAGGAGGGCGGCAGCGGGGCCATCCCGCCCCTCTCCTTCCTCCCCCTCTCTCTTGCTTCGTGGTTGTCATCCGGCCGACGTCTCGATATGCGTGGTGGATCCGCACGGGGGCGGCCAAATCCACGGGACTGGCGACCGGAGCCGAGTAGAGGATGTTGGGACTGCTTTGGTGTTCATTTGGGCATGCTCCCTATCGGTTAGCGGGCCCTACCATTTGTCGGCGGGCTCCTGTGGCAGGGGTGCGGGTGATGGCTGGTTGGACGGTTGGGGCTTCTTCCTGCCGCCATCTTCGATCTCCATTGCTCTGGCCGGTTCCGTGGTGGAGTTGGTCGGATTTGCTTGCTGCTGGCCGGCTTTGGCCAGATCTGACAGTGGGCAGCCTCTCCAGAGGGCTTCTTGTGGCGCTTCTCCTAGCCGGCGTGTGGCTGATGCTGCACATCGACCTTCTTCAAGGCGACGGCCAGGCTTTTCGTGCGGCAACTCCCCGCGGTGGCGGCCGGGCCTTCATTGCGGCTCCTCAAGGCAGCTTAGGTCATCATGGCAGCTCACCGGCTCCTCAGAGGCAGGCGGCTCCCTTGGCTCTCCGCGTCCTTCCTTGATGGGTCGGGGGCATCTTCTTGTGGTTGTGCATGCGGCGAGGACGCTCGCGGTGCGCACGGTGGCATCAGGTATCGACGGGGATGCTGGTGTATCATCACCGGAGCCTTTCTAAGGGACAGGCCCCCACTACAGTGGGCAATGGCAAGCCACGGTGGGTGGCTGTGAGAGATCAAGGTGAAAGCCTAGATAGCGCCGTCTGCAAACGCTGCTTCATCCTTGGAGGCGTCCTCTTCGCACCACTTCTCCTGCCCGGCTAGGATTTGTGGGTGAAAACCTTCTCATGGTGGGCTTGCAACGTCAGCGTCTTTGGCGTCATTTCCTTCCTGAAGGTGTCACGCGGCATTTTCTAGCTCCAGTCCGCTGTTTCGCTCTTGCCTTGTAGCCATGGTGGTGCTCCATGCTGCTTAGTGGTGCTTGGCATCGTGTCGAGTTTGTTATTTGTGTTTTGGGTTGGTTGCCAGAGTTAGTTGTTTTGCTAGTTGGTTTAAGGGTTGTGGTGCCCTGAGTTGCTTTGGTTGTTAGCCAACTCTCGGTGCTGTTAGATTTATAGATGTACTTTGTATTTTCCCTCTACTTGGAGGGGTCCTTTGCATATTTACACACATGTATAGTTGCCCCTTTCGGCCTAGAATAGATCAGTTGGCCAATTCTAACATGGTATCGAGCTAGGGTTCTAGGTTTCACCTCAGCCATCGGCTGACCCGCGCCGCCTCACGCGGCCCTGCGCGGCCGTCCGCGCTCGCTTCGCACGCGGGCCTTGCGTGGCCCCATGTGGCCGCCCGCGCGCCCGCCCCGCGTGGCTCCATGCCGCCTCGCGCCTGCCCTGCGTGGCTCGCACGGCCCCACGCCGTCTCGCACCTGCCCCGTATGGCTCCTCACCGCCTTGCGCGCGGCCACCCGGGCACGCACACCCTCGCGCGGCCGCTGCTCCCTCCTCTGCATGCTCGGCTGCTCGCCCCCCTCTCCTCTATTTTTGGCCCGCCCGCCTCCTAGCCCGGTGTTGCTCCCTCCTCTGTTTCTGGTGTTGCTCCCTCCTCTATTTCCTTTTTTTCCTTCCACAAACTCCTTCCAAAAAAACAAAAAAAATACAGCGAGCTCTCTTCTTCCATGGCATCCCTCGGGCACCCTGGTGCTATTCTTGTCCCTCGGTGCCTTGTCATTTTCAATGGCACAAATTGGGGTGACTTTGTTTTCCATTTGGAGGTCAACATGGATGGGCAGCTATTTTGGGGCAACCTCACGGGTGAGCGGATCTGTCCTCCCTATCCTGGTCTCCCCATGCCGCCCACATACCCGCCAGATGCTGATGATGATGCCAAGACTGCTTTACTTGAGGCATTTGAGGCTCAGATGGAGAGCTACCACTCTGATCTTGGTGTCTATGAGACTTGGCTATGCGAGGAGAAATCTGCTAAGGCTATCTTACTTCTGAGCATGGAGGTTGATCTCACACGGTCCCTCAGAGGTCTTCCCACTTCATACCTTATGTGGGATCACCTCTGTCGCAGTTACAAGATCCGTAACGAAGCGATGTACCTTGTTGTTGTTGTTGAGGAGGCTCAGTCACTTCGTCAACTTGATTCTACATTTGAGGACTTCCACTGTTAGATGACAAACGCCTGGCATTGTCTATACGGTTTGGGTGCTAAGTTCTACGGTGGTGGTACTTGTCGGTGCAGTGACCGCCAACGGGACCAGAGAGACACCTTCGCCTTCACGAGTTCCTCTCTCGGTTGTGTCCGGAGTTCGAGACAGTTCGGGCACAGTTGCTGACTGGTTGATGAGATCCTAACATATGGGTATGCTAAGCCTCGGGTCCAACGGTTCCCAACCGAAGCATACCCCCGCCAGTTCTCATTATATAAGGGTTAAGGTCGGACCTAAGGGGAAAAAGGAGAGGATAAGAAGACAGATCATTCCACTCCATTCCATCCTGTGGCCTCTGCTCAACATCGAGAGCAAGGCAACCCAGAGAGGGGCACGGAGAGCTCCTCCACCGTATCTCGTCGTCTTCCTCCTCTCCAACGAGGGGAAGGCTCCACCGGCTGCAAGGTAGTCTTAGGATTAGCACCGAGCTAACCCCCTACCAAATCTCTCTCTACACTCTATTGTAACCCCTCGATTTTGGGTGCTTTTGAGTATAAGGATCATCAGCTGCTGGACGTAGGGCATCGATTGGCCCGAACCAGGATAAACCGTTGCGTCCTATCTGTGATTCTTGTGTTCTTGAGTCCACCCGAGCCACCGGAGACCCGTACTCTAACACTGACTCAAACAACAATGCTTGCCGCGGTTCTGACCCCACGACAGCTGGCGCGCCAGGTAGGGGGCAGCGTCAAGTGCGATCCAGGCTCTACGGTAGCTGGAGCCACCCACATCGTCGCTAGAGCAAGGGGCGTCGCCCTAGATGGCGGCGTCCGCTTCCCCGATGAGTTCTCCATCATGGTCGGCGCCTTCGCTCTGGGCCAGGTCCTCAACTTTGGGAGCATGCCTTATGTCGCCGACTGCTACGGCGAGCTTCATCCACTCCACGGGGCTGCGCTGGCGGGCAACGAGCCCCCGGCATTGCCCCCTTCACTAGGACTTCTAGGACCAGATCTCAAGGTCCTGGCCCGACAGATCTGGCGCGGTTTGGGCCCGAACCCCACCGTGTGAGACGAGACGCCAAATGTTTTACATGCTAGCCAACGTCCACCACTAGATCGCCACCGGTGAGGTGCTCCCGTCGCCTAAACACTTATGGTACTACCTCCTGGACCTGCCTTTTGGGATCCAGAACGCGGTGGCGTCCTTCCAGATGGAGCTAGAGCACCTCATCAATCGCGAGGTGCCGCAGAGAGCCATCCTCTCCGCTGCGGCAGGGACCGACGTCCCCTCGCTACGCACCTTCCTCGAGATCCTTTCGGGGAACGGCCCGAAGTATGACTCCGACGACATTGACTGCTGTGCTTCGCCCCGCATGTGCTACCAGATCGATGGTGAGGTTCTTGCCGAGGAGGCGCCTGGGCTCACGCCGCTGGACCAGAGTCCCCGAAGCCGCACGGCCTACCTTCAGGAGATGGAGGATTGCCTACGAGCTCAGCAGGTGGACCTGGAAACCACTGAGGCAGAGCTCGAGCGCCAAAGGTAGGACCTTGCGTGGCAACGGACCGCGCACCCTCTCGGTGATGACTACGATGCCCGCACGGGGGCTACTAGCGGCCTCTGCTTTACCCATGCAACGTACAAGATGGTGGCCACCGCCCTCGAGCAGTCGACTTCCCGGCATCGCGCCGCGATCTCTCGGCCATCCCAAATGACAGCTACTCCCAACGGGGACCGCTCCAACGCTCATGCCCCACAGGTAGGGGGAGCAGCGGCGACACCTCCGGCAACATCTTCGACCAGCCACGGACCTGGGGCGCCAAGCCTCAGCAGGATCGAAGGCGTGACCTTTCTTCTCGACGTCCCACCGCGTGCCACCAGATCGGCGACGTCTGCAACACCATCTAGGCCAAGCGCCACGCTCAGGCACGGTTCTGTACCCCTGAGCGACGGGGCGGGGGCTCCGCCCCGGATCACTTTAGCCTCCCGGTGTTTGGGGCAACAATCTGGGCAGCTCCCTACCCCAAGCATTTCCGGCCACCGACACACATCTCCAAATACAATGGCGAGACCAACCCAGAACATTGGCTAGAGGACTAGCGCCTTGCCATGAAGGCCAGGGGTCAGACGATGACTTCGCCATCTAGTACCTTCCCCTGCTTTTGTCAAGTTCGACCAGAGCTTGGCTCGAGTAGCTCGAGCCTAGCAGCATCCGCTGCTGGGGCGATCTCCATTTGGTCTTCATCGGCCACTTCCAGGGTACGTACACTCAGACCAGGAACTCGTGGGACCTCCACAACTACAGGCAGAGGTCCAGCAAGACACTCCAAGAGTACATCTAGCATTTCTCCAAGCGCAATGAGCTCCCCAACATCACCAACTCCGACGTAATCAACGCCTTCATCTGCAGCACGACCTACGAGGCGCTGGTTCACGTGCTCGGCCGCGAGACCCCGTGCACGACGTGGGAGCTCCTGGACATCGCCACCCAGTACGCCATAGGCGAGGAGGCCGTCTAGGCCAACTTCAGCGGCAAAGCCAAGGCCGTCGGTCACCTTAGCGGAAGGGATGGCGGTGACGACCCCGCTTTGTCCCAGCGACACCGTGACAAGCGGAACAAGGACCGGAAACACCACAGGGAAGAGATGGTGTTCGCGGCCGACCACGCCGCTAGGCCTCAGCCCCGCAGGCGAGTCGCACGCCTAGAGTACTTTGAGATGGCACTCGAGACCCCCTGCCCATTCCACGGGGGGCAAGCAAAGCACCTCCTCAAGGACTGCGCTACCATGAGGGGCTACATCCATAGCACCCTTGGCAAATAGGGCAAGGCCTAGAAGCCTACCCTGAAGGCTACCGACCCGACGGATGGCACCTAGGAGGAAGACACTGAGTTCCCCTAGGCCGAGCGCTGCCTCATGATCTTTAGGGGCTCCTAGGCCTATGAATCCCGCTGGCAATGTTGCATTACCGAACAGGAGGTGAACGCCGCATTCACACCCTCGCCACTCCAACGCGGCTTCGATGGTCCCAGATGTCCATCACCTTCGACCAGGAAGACCATCCTGATCGTGTTCCTCATCTAGGGCGCTGTCCGCTCTTGGTCAGCACGATCATGGGCACCACGCACCTCACCAAGGTGCTGATGGACAGGGCAGCGGCCTCAACATACTCTACGCCAGCACTCTTGACAAGATGGGCATCTCCCGAAGCAATCTGCGCCCCAGCAAGACGCCGTTCTATGGGATTGTGCCGGGGAAGGAAGCCGTGCCCCTCGGATGCATCCAGCTCAATGTCACCTTGGCCAGCCAGACAACTTCCACAAGGAGCCGCTCACCTTCGAGGTGGTTGACTTCCCCGACATCTACCATGCCCTCCTCGGTCAACCGTGCTTCCCCAAGTTCATGGCCGTCCCCAACTACACCAAACTAAAGGTCAAGATGCCCGGCCCAAAGGGGGTCATCACCGTCGAGGGCAGTTTCGAGCAAGCCTACTACAGCGAGCAGGAATGTGTCGCCCAACCGGCCGCGCTCATCGCCCCCTATGCTCCTGATGGCCCTAGCTATGACGTAGGAAGGGCATCGATGGAGGAAGCAACCAAGGCAGCAGCGGCGCTCAACCGACCAAGCATTGGCAAGACAGTGAAGACTCCTGGCGGCAGTGATGGCTCGGCTGGCTCCTCCATCCAGGCGCTCGGCCCCTATAAGGGGTTGACCCGATCGAGGTGAGTTTCGACCATTCCCCATGAGGGAAGGCCAACGTCGAGCCATCTGCCCAGAAGCGTCGCCTCCCGAGCCATAACCCGCCTACCGACCTCCTTCATTGGCCTACCTCTCCATCAACAAAAACCAAGATAAGTCCCATCCTCCTAACCCTCTTGCTTCACTTGTCTCTATTATTGTCTCCTTTAACCCGAGCCACTCTAGCGGTTGCTCGGCTACACCAGAGGATTGACTGAGCTAACCACCTCCTGACCTCTCTGAAGGAGGACTACTACAGAAGGCCCCCGAACGAGGTGAGGACGGGACAGACGGAGTGAGAGGACCGGGCAAAGGATCGACTAGGCGCTAATAGAATGGCCCTGACCGCCACATTACCAGCTATGTCATCTTTCCCATCTCTTGTGTCCATTTTGTGTCCTTTACAGCTATCTGCCTGACTCCAGATCCTTCATTGGATCATGCCACTCCATCGCATGACGGTCTAGGGGCCCCCAGAAGGGGCATCGCCGAGGGTTCTAAGGCTGGCCCACTGGGCTTCAAGGCCACCCAAAGCACCTAAAGTGTGATGGACATTCATGGTCGGGCACTAGAGGCCTTAGCCAGGAGCCTAGAAGCGAAACCGGTCGATCATCGAACAATGTCTGAGTACCGATCTCGAGCCACTCGTGGTGACACATCGAGGGAGCCAGCGAGCCCCCGAGCACCGACAGACAGGCTCGGGAACTATATGAGTGGCTCGATCAAAAAGCCGATGAACTCCCCACTAGGGACATGACCGAGGCAAGAAATGATCGTAAACCCAGGATTCTCATGGACTTACCCGCTAGTAGCACAAGCACGGCGATCTTGGCCACCGAGGCCATCATTGTAACAGCCCATCCCAACGAGGGTCTAAATCTCTTAGCATGACTCAAGAGCAATGGGATTACAAACGAAAGTAATTTCATTTCATTAATTAGGAACAACCCGATTACAATATATGGCGGTAGAAACTGCAATCTACTGCCACCTATATTGCGGCAAAGATCGCAGGGCGCACCCGACCTCAGGGTGGGGCCCTATGGTACGCATGCCTTGGGCCAGTGGGCTGGCCTCGAGGCTCCTCCCAGAGGCTCGAAGCCAGGCGACGTCGACTGTCGCTCCGTCAACGGGTAGGGCCCCCTCGCCGTCGCCGGGACAGAGGGGTAGCTACCGACGCGTCGCGGACCCCCTCCCCCATCAGAGGGCATAAGGACTCCAGCAGCCTCACTAGAGACCTTACACCTTCTAGGGGAGGGGAATGCGATAGACACCTCTAGCGTCGTC